TTGAACCTAAGCAGGGTTCCATCCCCACCCCCTTCTCCAGTTCCACTAAACTCAAAGCAAAAGACACAGCAAATCTCTGCCTTCACAGATAATAGGAAAAGGCCAACACACTTTCTATAGGGGCATTCAAAAGGACTTGCAGCTCAGTGCTCATCGCTCATTCAATGTGGGTACAGCAGCAAAACATCCTACTAGTTCCTACACTGAAGCCTCATTAGGTGCAGAAATTAAACCCAGCTCTAGATCCCGATTTCCAAGATAAAAATGCTGAAAGCTCTCTGAAGTGATACATTCAGAAAATAAATTTGCAGAGTATTGAGTCAAGGTCATAGCACAAAGACACTATGAAGTTCACAATGAGATTATTAGTGCACTTCAGCACATAATGCTTGTAACGGAGGGAAGTGGCAGCTAAATGTTTCCCACACAACCCACCACATTTTCTCAACCATGTCCTCTCCAGCACCCCTCCAGGGAACACAAAAACAGGACTTATTCCAAAGCTATTTAATGCTAGTGTGGAGTATAGCCTGTCGCTGGAGTCGCACGCTATTTTGGCTCCTTGACAGCACCTTCTCCAACCTGAAGTGAGATTGTCATGCAATGGGTGTGTCAATATGCAGGAAAATTGTCAAGCCTGTTATAAAACTCTCTCACTTGATGTATTTCCAGCATTATCTAATTTGTAATCAAATGTTTGTTCCCTGATAGAAAAAAGCACAGTTCACAGTGGGGACTCACTCAGTGTGTGGCTGTATTTGTTTAATGAAAGCTCCTTTTTTACAATAGGTTGGCAAAAATCAGAGATTAAATTATCTAAACATCAAATAAAAAGGGAAATAGGCACATTATCACAGCCCTTTCTTGGGTCTTCCTGAAACACAAAGTCCTGAAATCAATGAACATTCAATATTCCTTATTCCTAAATTCCAAGATTAAAGGTTTCTTGTTCCCTACACTGTTTCTGTTCAAGGCTAAATCCATCCAAAAGAAATTCAGAAAAAAACTCTCCATGGCCCCACAGTGGTGGGTTTCAGCTGCTTTTTGGCCCACCTTCCACCCCAAGTAAGAAGTGAAACAATACGTGGAGGCTGAACAAGATAGTAATAATAGGAATGGACACTAAGAGGGTTATTTACTAAACCTGGAGAGTGCAAAATCTAGTGCAACTCTGCATAGAAACCAATCATCTTCCAGGTTTTATTGTAAAAGCTTAAATGAAAAAGCTGAAGTTAGAAGCTGATTGACTACCATGCACAGCTGCACCAGATTCTGAGAGCTCCAGTTTTGGTAAATCTCCCCCAAGGTTCCATGCACACTGGGCAAAAAAAATGCCACTGTTAACTGCTTCCCTGCTGCCTTATAGCAGATATACTGCTACTGGGTGGCAGCAGTGCGCAAAATCACACATATATTAGTGAATTTGCATTTCCAGGTAGGGGGCACATGCACGCCCTACCCACACCGCCATTCATGGCCGCGGCTGTTAATCACTGGGTCCCGGCTGGTGATTACCAAGGATCTCCAACAGGGAGGAGGGCTGCTTTGTTTACTAACAGTCCTCCTCCCTGTCAACTCGGGCACACTGCTCTGCTCTCCATTCAGATCAGTGTACTTACAGTGAAGCACCAACACACCGCCCCCCAGTAAAAACACTCCCAGCACACAGTTAACCCTTTGATCACCCTTCGTGTTAACCCCTTCCTGCCCAGTGCCATTAATACAGTGTCAGTGCTTTTTATTAGTTCTGATCATTGTATTTGTGTCACTGGGGATGTCAGTGACACCAAGTCAGTTCCCCCCAGTGTCAGAATGCCTGTCACCCGCTATAAGTCGCTGATCGCCGCCATTATTAGTAAAATGAAAAATAAATTCTAGTATCTATACTGCCATTTGTAAATGCTATAACTTTCACGTAAACCAATAAATTTACACGTATTGGGATTTTTATAATAACAAATGCACAGGCGATCAAATACCACCGAAAGAAAACTCAATTCGTGGGAAAATGTAAATTTAATTTGGGTGCAGTGTTGCATGACTGCGCAATTGTCAGTTAAAGTAACGCAAAAATGGCCAGGTCAGGAAGGGGGTTAAATCCTCAGGAGGACAAGTGGTTAAGAGGGTGTTTTTTTTTTTAACTGCTTCTAAACCCCCTCCATGTATCCTTGCACACATAGGTATTTAGAGGAGCTTAGAGGCAGGGGAGTTTAGAAACAGAAAAAAAACCCTTTTCTTTTGCATTCAGGAGAGGAGCTTTTTGGCATAAACAACTACAAAACAGGTCAAACATGGCAAAAACACATATAAAGCACATGTAAACGAGGCATTTTTTTGTCATTTCAATGGTCAGAATAAATTAATATTACGGCCAACGAAATTAGGAAACACCCATGCGCTTGACGTGTATAAACACGCCTAAACCTGTTTACAAATCAATGGCTTAGGCACATTTTTTCAGCTGCTTTACTCATGCCAGAACAAAAGTGATTAGGAGAGTGCCTGCATAAATTTTGTCAATACATACCCTATACTGAAAGTAGCAGGTTTCCCTGGGCAGCACAGCGCAGGTGCTCAAAATACTGAAAGATCACAGGACAGGAAACAGCCCATCCTTTTTCCTGTCCAACCTAAACAAGACGTCATTTAATTCATTCCACTTTGTCACACTGTGTTCCCTGCTTGGCATATGGGACTGCATTATAAAAAAAATGACTTTCAAGGTATGAACATTATTCTGTGTGTCCAATCTAAGCATTGATAGTGTGATCTCTGTAACTTACAGTTGTGATGAGCTAGCGATAACTTCAACCTCAGTTGGGGTCCACAGTCAGTGACTCAATCAGAATGATATCTTGCAGATCTTGTGAAGTTTATTCAATAAACTCAGAGAATCTTACAACAATAAACATCTGATAGGTCGAAAGAACATACTGTTCTGCTTCTTGCCATGAGGCTGTTGCAATGCATCTCTGGGAAGGGGGGAGGGCTATCTATGCAACTTTAGCTAAACTAAAGGAAAGGAAGGAGCAGAGACAAAACACTGAAAACATTTAAAGGCATATGACAGTCAATATGACAGTCATGTGAAACATGACAAACATTCATATGCCTCAATCCCCTTCTCCCACGTGACAGCACTGCTGCTTCATGATTAGCCCAGCGCGCGCTGTCTAACTGGGGCAGGGAGGACCTGTATGGACACTGGCACATTGGTTTGGAGCTTTCACAAGGCTTTCTTTCCCTGGTCCCAGCAGCCAAATTAAGTGACAAGGAAAGGTGGGTACATGCCTGCCTTTAAAAGGTAAAAAAAAGTCATTTTAAATACTTTCAAATACACCTGTTTGCTATTTAGACATCATGCCCACAGGCATTTACATTCTCCTGAGACTGGAAGTGTAAAATATTCAGTGTTTTCCATTGCCTGGGGAGCCACAGCAGTGCATACACTTCAAGGCACAGGAGCATATCAACACCCATGTGCATGAAGCCTTATTCATCTGCTGAACTTAAATAAGTATTAAACCCAAAACAAAAATGTAATATATTGCAGCTTACCAATTATTAGATGTCTGGTGGCTGCTTCAGTTGTCTTTTTTTAGGCTTTTTCCCCTCTGTTTACACTTAGCCATCTGGCCAGTAACACACCTCCTATATAAGTGTCCCACTCTGGATGAATAAGCACAGGGGGCACAGCAGATAGCAGCATTGTGCAGCACATTTAAATACATTAACAGACTGAAGCCAAACTCCAGCTCACACTTTATAATCAGTTACAGCAAACAGTTTTTGCTTTTTCCTTTTGGGTAAAGGTTTTACACCCCTGCCAGTGTTAAATGTCTGTCTCACAGCTGTAAACTGAAACATCTGGAAGAAAGCATGTGCATTTGAAAAACAACAGACTTCCCGTTCAGACCATTGGGTGAAAATAGAAGAAAGCCTAAAAAAGAAAACATTTACATTAAGGCCTTGTTCACACCATATGTGCAGAAAAACTGGTGGAAACTGATGTGCAGATTTCACATGCTGAGACATCAGTTTACATCGGATTCCATGCGTGCTTCAAAAAGGTTTATACACGTTGCAGATTCCTGGGCAGAACAATTCTGCGTGTAATACTAGTGTTGTGGTGTGAACAAGGCACATAGAGAACAAGTAATTTTGTTGTTCCCTTGCAGAACACGTGCAGAAAATCTGACAGCTCTGTACTATGATGTGAACAAGCATTTACACTTTACTTTGCAACAGCCATATTCAACAGTCAAAGCATTGCTGATAGCAGTTTCCTTTGGCAAATTTGGAGTTTCCAGGATTAAGATGTACAGCCACTTTTTACTGAGCCTTGACAGGTTTTATGGACATCCCAGCATATAAAGCCTACCATTGGGTCTGGCTTACACCTGTGCCGGAGTGACTCCATACACAGAGGTTACTTATTCTAGTGGCTGAAGATTTAAAGTGATACTAAAGGTTTAATTCTTGTTTTTAACCCCTTGCCTACCGGGCACTTATACCCCCTTCCTGCCCAGGCCAATTTCCAGCTTTCAGTGCTGTCACACTTTGAATGACAATTGCGTGGTCATGCAACACTGTACCCATATGACATTTTTATCATTTATTTGAGACAGATAGAGCTTTATTTTGGTGGTATTTAATCACCTCTGGGATTTTTATTTTTTCTTAAACAAACCAAAAACCACTGAAAATTTTGAAAAAAAAAGTTTTTTCTTAGTATTTGTTATACAATTTTGTAAATAAGTGATTTTTCTCCTTCACTGATGTGCGCTAATGAGGCTGCAGTGATGGGCACTGATAGGCTGCACTGATGTATACTGATAGGTGGCACTGATGTGCACTGATGAGGAGGCACTGGTAGGTTGCACTGATGGGCATTGACAGGCATTACTGATGGGCACTGAAAGGCAGCACTGATACATGACACTGATATATGGCACTGATAGGCAGCACTGACTGGCACTGATAGGCGGCACTGACTGGCACTGATAGGCAGCACTGACTGGCACTGATGCGCACTGATAGGCGACACTGACTGGCAGCACTGATAGGTGGCACTGATTGGCACTGATGGGTGACATTGAAAGGCAGCTCAGATGGGCACTGATATGTGGCATTGATGTGCACTGGTATGCACTGATATGTGGCATTGATGTGGCACTGATGGGCACTGGCACGTGGCACTGATGGGAACTGACAGGTGGCACTTCTGGGGCCACACTGATCATCAGGGCACACTGATCATCAGTGCTCTGATGATCAGTGTACATGTCCCCTCCACGGAAAGCCTTTTACCGGCTCTCCTCTCCTCTCAAGCTCGAGAGGAGAGAAATGCTGATAACCGGCATTTCCGTGTTTACATGTGATCAGCTGTGATTGGACACAGCTGATCACATGACCGAGCCGACATCTTCGGCTCTTTCCATGATCCGCTGTGTCCGAGGGACATAACGCACCGGCGATCGCCACGCTGCGCGCTCCCTGAGCCGCGCATGCGCAGTGAGAATGGTAGGACATCATATGTGACATCCTATCAGAATGAGAGAACCACCTTGCGCCCGTCATTGTACTATAGGGCGGGCGTAAGGTGGTTAAATACCAAACATGTTATAGTTACCTGCTCTGTGCAAGGGTTTTGCAAAGAGCAGCCTCTATCCTCCTCTTCTTGGGTCCCCCGCCGGCGTCTGGGCTCCCCCCCCCCCCTGCCAAGTACACGAATAGTAAGAATCTTGCTATGGGGGCACATATGCATCTTTTGCTCCCAGGCCCCGTTCTGTGTGTCCAAAGGACACAGAATGTGGCTCGGCCTCACCCCCACTCCCCCCCGTCCACTGGCTGTGATTGACAGCAGTGGGAGCAAATGGCTCCTGCTGCTGTCTCTGAACCAGTGAGGAGGCAGAGAACCGGGACAGCAGCTGCTCTCCTGCACATCGCTGGGTCGGGTAAGTATTGGGGGTGCTGCCGAGGTAGCTGCATATTGAAGGTTTTTTACATTCAGGCTTTACAATCAATTTAAAGCTTAATTCTTCAACTGTTTTTTTTTAAGAGCATGTTTGGCAGTAAGTTTTCCAGAAGAATTACTGATAAATCTTAACATTTCTAGGAGATAAATAATAATTGTGCAATAAAAGTGCAACTGTGCCAAGATTATTCATAATAAATTAGTTGCATATTCATAATTAGTACAAGAGCTTTAAAACAAGCCCTCTCGGAATTCTGTAGCTGCAGGTACTTGGGGAGGGGGGGCAAAACATCTTCATAGTTCACAATACAGGCACAACTCCAGGTTGGGCAAAAAGAGAAAAAAAAACCTCAATCCCCAACATCTATGAAAAATTAACAAAACAACTTCTGCTGTTTCCCAGATGATGAGCAAGCATTGAAGGTGCATTTCCGTTCCACTCCATTGGGATGAACTGCATGCTAAGGAAACTCATGTATATTTATGCCTAAAGATGCAGAAACAACATCCCATAGTTCTCTGATCATGGCTGCACATTTACTTATTGTCTTCTGCATGAAAGCCTAAACAATAAATCCTTAGTTGAATAGTGGGTGAAAAAAAATTATTTAAAATGATTTAACTTGTTGATATAAACATTACAGCCAAAATAATATCTTATCATGCAATGACTACTTTTTATACAACACAAATGTTCATTTTAACTGATTCCCTTGCTTCCAAACAAGTGAACTGAACAATTGCGCTTCTTGCAAGCATCATTTTGCAGCTCTCAGTGGAGATATGTTTAATGTGTACTCTCTCTACATTTGCCTACACACTGTTCTAAACTAAATCTGCTCCTGCAAAACCTTCTCTGTTCAGCAGCTGCTTACCTGCTTGTAGTCCTTCCACTCTGCTCTGGGTACCTGGGAATTCTCCAGTAGACTTCTATTGGGGGCAGCACAGTGGCTAAATGGTTAGCACTTCCGCCTGGCAGCACTAGGGTCATTGGTTCAAATCCCAACCACAGCACCACCTGACTGGAGTTTGCATGTTCTCCCTGTGTCTGTGTGGGTTTACTCTGGGTACTCCAGTTTCCTCCCACACTCCAAAGACATGCTGTTAGGTTAATTGGATCCTGTCTAAATTGGCCCTAGTATGTGTATGTATGAATGTGAGTTAGAGACCTTAGATTGTACACCCCTTGAGGGTTAGGGACTGATGTGAATGTACAATATATATATGTAAAGTGCAGCATAAATTGACAGTGCTATATAAGTACCTGAAATAAATAAATATTAGTTGGACTACCTCAATTCAAAAGAAGCAGGTGACCTCAGGGACCACAAGTGAATGGGAAATCACTGAACAGTTGGCAAGTCCAGTATTTAACAGCAACACACTTAGCAAACTACATAGCTTGTATTTCATGCTGGATGTTATTTGTGTTCTTCAATAAAAAATGTTTAAACTAATATATATATGTAAAATAAATACTTGTGAGCTACTATGATGACAGGGATATTTCCTATATATAATGATATATAAAAGTATATTATACTTGTGGTTCGCTGGCCCTCACACCTACTCATTAGATAGTGTTAAGTGAAATTAGTTAGTAGAAATTATATATAAACATCTACTGGTTGTTTAAATTAGATGGATGGCAAGATGCTTTTGAAAATAGCTGACATTTCAGTGCCTCTTTTGTGAATTTTAAAGATATGTTTCTCCACACTGCTTATAACTAAAGAGGTGAATGAAGGCTTGGTTTGGTCAGAATATGTAAATTCTTTAGGAAGTGTATCTAAAGCCTGATGATCTTTTTCAGTTTGAAAAGAGTAGGAAAAGGGTTATCAACACTGCAGTCTGCTCTGCATTAAGGGTTAGGGAGCTTAACTTTCTCAAACACTGTCACCAGGACAGAAAGTGAGGAAAAATTCAAAACTTGTGAGCTATCACAAGAACAGCAATAAAGTTCAAATGAAGACACTTGTTGTGATTCTGTTGTGAGATGTTTAATAAAAAATTCTTGTTGAAAAAGAGCTATTGTCCTTTAGATACTTATAGTAATAATCTGCCTCCTTGTCTCCAGCCCCGGGCCATTCACGATCTTATCTAGGGGAACATACAATTATATATGCCTTTGAATATAACTGGCAAAAGGGCGACCATGAGATATTGACATCCAATATGACCTATCTTGTGCCAACCTTTCTAATAAATAACTAGCAAAATTGCGGCGGCTCAGAGTTCCTGAGGAGGTCTGAGCCTCAAGAGGTCACAAACGTCACTTCTGGTTTCCCTCTAACATCATATCTGGTTGTTTGGAATGCACTGGCAAATGGTGTTTTACTGGCAAATGGTGTTTGGGGGCTTTTGACACTTTTTTGTTTGGACTTTTCAGTATAATCACCTTAATTAATTATGTCATTGTACTGCAATTTTTAGTACTAGGTGGTATTGCCACACATGGCTAGTGATTAACCTCTATTGGACGTTCTGTTAAAACCACTGTTATTATTTATTACCGTATTTTCCGGCGTATAAGACGACCCCCTACTTTTCCTGTTAAAATATAGGGTTTGGGCTATACTCGCCATATAAGACTACCCCTCTTCCAACGCACACCAAATAAAAATTAAAAAACATCAGATTTGATTTCAATATGGTATGGTATTTCAGTATGGTATTCCAATGATGGGGTGCTATTCCTCCCACTGACACCAATGATGGGGCACGATTCCTCGCTCTGACACCAATGATGGGGCACTATTCCTCCCACTGACACCAATGGGGACACTATTGCCCCACACCATTAGTGTCATTAGTGTCAGTGTGTGAGGAATAGTGTCCAATCATTACTGTCAGTGGGAGGAATAGTACTCCATCAGCGTCAGTGAGAGAAATAGTGCCCCATCATTGATGTCATTGGGAAGAATCGTGCCCCATCATTGTTGTCAGTGGGAGAAATAGTGCCCCATCATTGTTGTCAGTGGGAGGAATAGTGCCCCATCATTGTTGTCAGTGGGAGAAATAGTGTCCCATCATTGTGTCAGTGGGAGAAATAGTGTCCCCCATCATTGTGTCAGTGGGGAATAGCACCCATCATTGGTGTCAGTGGGAGGAATAGTGCCCCATCATTGCTGTCAGTGAGAGATGAATAGCACCCCATCATTGGTGTCAGTGGGAGGAATAGAAACCCCATCATTGGTCTCAGTGGGAGGAATAGCACCCCATCATTGGTCTCAGTGGGAGGAATCGTGCCCCATCATTGGTGTCAGTGTGAGGAATCGTGCCCCATCATTGGTGTCAGTGGGAGGAATAGTGCACCATCACTGGTGTCAGAGCAAGGAATCGTTCCCCATCATTGGTGTCAGTGGGAGGAATAGTACCCCATCATTGGTGTCAGTGGGAGGAATAGTGCCCCATCATTGGTATCAGTGGGAGGAATAGAGGAATAGTGCCCCATCATTGGTATCAGTGGGGGGAATAGTGCCCCGTCTTTGGTGTGAGTGGGAGGAATCGTGCCCCATCGTTGGTGTCAGTGGGGGGGAGGAATAGTGCCCCATCGTTGGTGTCAGTGGGGGGGAGGAATAGTGCCCCATCCTTGGTGTCAGTGGGGGGTAGGAATAGTGCCCCATCGTTGGTGTCAGTGGGGGGAGGAATAGTGACCCATCGTTGGTGTCAGTGGGGGGGAGGAATAGTGCCCTATTGTTGGTGTCAAAGGGGGGAGGAATAGTGGCCCATCGTTGGTGTCAGTGGGGGGGAGGAATAGTGCCACCATCGTTGGTGTCAGAGGGGGGGGGGAGGAATAGTGCCCCATCGTTGGTGTCAGTGAGGGGGGGGAGGAATAGTGCCCCATCGTTGGTGTCAGTGAGGGGGGAGGAATAGTGCCCCATCGTTGGTGTCAGTGGGGGGGGGAGGAATAGTGCCCCATCGTTGGTGTCAGTGGGAGGAATAGTGCACCATCATTGGTGTCAGAGCAAGGAATCGTGCCCCATCATTGGTGTCAGTGGGAGGAATAGTGCCCCATCATTGGTATCAGTGGGAGGAATAGAGGAATAGTGCCCCATCATTGGTATCAGTGGGGGAATAGTGCCCCATCATTGGTGTCAGTGGGAGGAATAGAGGAATAGTGCCCCATCATTGGTATCAGTGGGAGGAATAGAGGAATAGTGCCCCATCATTGGTATCAGTGGGAGGGAGGAATAGTGCCCCATCATTGGTGTCAGTGGGAGGAATAGAGGAATAGTGCCCCATCGCTGGTGTCAGTGAGGGGGAGGAATAGTGCCCCATCCTTGGTGTCAGTGGGGGGTAGGAATAGTGCCCCATCGTTGGTGTCAGTGGGGGGAGGAATAGTGACCCATCGTTGGTGTCAGTGGGGGGGAGGAATAGTGCCCTATTGTTGGTGTCAAAGGGGGAGGAATAGTGGCCCATCGTTGGTGTCAGTGGGGGGGAGGAATAGTGCACC